GTCTACAGACTGTTTACAGACTGTTTACAGACTGTTTACAGACTGTTTACAGACTGTCTACAGGCTGTTTACAGACTGTTTACAGACTGTTTACAGGCTGTTTACAGACTGTTTACAGACTGTTTACAGGCTGTTTACAGGCGGCAGGCTGACTCAGGTTTACCCTGCTGTCTTTGCCCTCCTTCATCCTCAGAGCTCCCTCCAGGTGCAGCTGGCGGGTCTGCTCGGCTGACGTCCCCCTCATGGGAGCCATCAGGTCGAAGTGGTTGTACTCTTTCAGGATCTGCAGGGGAGCAGAGGGAGAAAGACAAAGCTGAGCCTGAAGCCTGATCTCACAGCAGCTCAGAGGTTTGAAGCTTGGGAACAGTTCCTGACCTTCTCCACCTCCTCGCTGCTGCCCTCCACCGCCTCGTACGAGTCGATGCGTGCCGAGATGGTGGCCAGCTTCTGCTGCTCCTGACGCTGGTGCATCTGGAAGTCCACACTGTTGATGAAGTCCTCCACTGAGACCACCTGCAGGGGGGGAGAGCGCTCAGGTCAGCTGTCAGCAGGAACAAGAACATGTGAGAGCAGCAGCTTCCTGTGGGCTGCAGGACGGGTTGGACGGTTTGATTGTTTGTTCTGATTAAGGCAGCGTCCTTCCTGTACAACACTGTGCTCAGATACTTGAACATGTTCCAGGATGGAAACCTGAAGGTGTGTTTGTTTCTGCTGCTTTACAAAATCAGTCATCTCCATACAGAACCTGCTCAGAGCTTTCAAGTCTGTTAAAGTCATCGTTCCTCACTACATGAGATGATGCAGAACACCAACAACTCGGCTCATTTCTCAACATTCGATCAGGTTCGTACACTTTTCTCWCAGTAAAATTCCAGCACTTTTCAAGGAGAATTGTCAAAGGTCAGAGCAGTCTGTATCTCTGTGCACCTTTCTTCACTGAGCGTTCCAACCACAGAACACACAGCATTCCCTATGTGAAGACAACCTATCAACTATCTGAAACACTGTGCAGCTGAAAACAATCCTGCAAGTATTAATATGAGCTGGATAAATAGATCATAGGCACACATGACTGAACACTGCCAAGCCAYGGCTACATTTTGTGTAATTAAACCATTAGCTAGCCATCTTTACTAACGTTTTTAGTAAAAAAGTTTTAGTTTACAATAGATAACATAAAACCCTGGATCGAGCCATCCTTCAAACAGTTTGAAAATTTCCTGATTAAGCGGTTTAAATCTCTATTCATAATGATTCATCTGTATTATTTATAATGATTGATCTCTATTTATAATGATTGATCTCTATTATTTATAATGATTGATCTCTATTTATAATGATTGATCTCTATTATTT